CCGATGTACAAGTCAGTGCTTTTATCCTCCCAGACGGGAGACGAGTCTGGTAACAATTAATCGATCCCTTGGAAATGGAAGGCTTCATAGGCCAAGGCGGATATCGATCCGGGATACGGACCGTGGAACACGGGGGTGTGTTCGTGCGCCATTTGCCACCACACCACCTTCGCCAGAAAATTCTAATACAATTCAGAGTACAAAAATAATGCGTGTTCCAAAAATGGGAGGTAATTGCGTAGTGCACTCTATGGGGACGCTTCAATCACTTCAAGTTACGATGCTCAGCAGGAATGTTATAAAATGTGAGAAAAGGAGAAAATAAATCAATCAAGTAAGAGCAAACCCCTACTAACCATTGAGTAGACCAGAAAATGGTGAGGAAAAAGACGCGAGAGCCGGAAACGTAAGGATGAAAATAGAAAGTGTAGCGGACGGAAACATGGGAGAAATGGATGTACTGTCAGAGCCAAAGGTTAGGAGGGGATCGATGAAAACAAGGAAACTCCCATGCGTAAAGTTGCTGTACCCAACCGGTTGATAGAGTTCATCGATTCTATAGAGCGCCCATGTATCACGTTGTCGTCTTTGCTACATAATTGATCGAAAGCTGATTGACATAGAAAATCGATTTCACCAACTATCAACTGAATTTTAAGATATTTGCCTTTTATTCATTCAATTTAAATTCTGTAAATATCAACTCGGAGAATTCGGGTAAGGGTTCTTGAAAGCACTGTTCATTGGTTCACAGCTTGGCGGAGTTGAATTTTAGAGGTGGATAATTTGACCCTACTAGGAGATACAAAACAAGACACAAGTGGTAATTAAAAATGAAATGAAAGAGTTTTTGCTAACCTTGTGCTCAATTTTCATGACTGCGGTCGTAGTTTCTTAAAGATTGACGTTCTCCTGGCTCTCTGAAAGAGTATCGACTGTATCTCTGCAGTTGGCAACTGGAATTTGATCGGTATACGAATAAAGTGGCGACGACTTGGAGGATAGGGTTCGGTTGCGATCTGTTTTCTTCAGTGCAACAAAGATGATCCGATGATTGCGTCGTCGTCGTAGCAAGGTCAGAACCAGACTCAAACTATAGCCACTGAGGCAGAACTGAACATGCACGTTGACAATGTACGATCAGAAGTGTCGTGTGCGATGTCGTCTGGGGAAGGAAGGTCAGCGCCGGCCTGGAACTCTGCCAGTGATTTTCGCACTAACGAATAACGGCTGTTTGACGAATTGGTAGCACTGCCCAAACTGGTCGTGACGGGGTCTTTGAAGAAATCTCTGTGGCACACTTTCACACTTTCCCAACAAATTTATATAGGTGGGAGAGACTCAAGCATCCATTACTACTAAATCAGGTCTGAGTTACAAAAAGTAAGTGGCTGTACAAATGCATTCGGTGATCATGGTTAAGGAAAAACGTCCCGAAACGATCCCTCGGTTTTTCCAGCCTCATTTAGGATCGGAACACGTGTCGGGGACTGGTTGAAGAAACGGTTCGCATTATCCATTGCGGAAAACCAGGGAAAAACCTCTGAATATCCTTCTGAAATAGGATGGTAATAGAAGTAGGGACTGCAAACAAGCGATTTCAAAAAAGTTATTGGTTGAAAGACACCTTTACGCTCGAGGCCATGTTCAAGATGATCATAGAACTGACACCAAAAGTCGCTTATTGGAAAGCTCGACTCGAGCAAAGCGGATTATAACGCTCCCAACTGATGCCAAGTCTCCTCTCAGGGTCTATATAGGATTGGTTTAATAGCAGGATTGCTCATTATAAAGATTGCTGTACCTGTTGGATTTTTGTTCTTCTAGGATATTGCCTCTGTTATTGTCACTAATAGATATAAGCCGATTTAGATGACATGAATAATTTTTTTTTCAAAAAGGGGTCTCATCGTCCATTTCATTCAAAACTGATCACAGGTAAACAAAGCGCGTTACTATGCGGAAGTTAAGAGCTCTGTTTGACCAATTCCTGTAATTGTGTGAAGTCCGGTATTAGTCATTGTTTACTTGTTTGCTTGTTTTTGAACGTCACAGTTCGAAGCGCACGATTCACTGTGATTAAAATTGCAATCTGAATTAAAGCAAATGAAAACAAAGAGCACCCAAATGCCTGTCGGTCTGGGGAATGACTTTCGTCCTTGAAAACTGCCACAGTGGTCAAACAAAGCGGTACGGAAAGATCTTTAATAGATACGACCACTTTCACGCATGTTCTGAGAGGAGGGAAAATGATGAAATAACGTTTATTTCACCAATATTTATTTTTTATTTTTGTTCCTTTTATTTCTAAAGACCTTTAATTATGGGACTTCATACTTCGTACAGCTTGAGCAGCCTCCCAAAATATCCATATCTGTCAGATAAGGCACGAAATTCTCAAAATCGGCAAGAATAGTAGAACGGCAGTTGTGGGGCTTTTATGCCCAAGTTTCACCCAAATAGAGCTGACAGTAAGGCAATTGGTTTTCACAGTCTAGAGCAATATCCTAGCGATGAAATTCCCGGAGAAACTGGAAAGCAGCAAAAATGAGAGAAAAGGCAATGATCGCCCCTCGTTTGACTGCTCTATGTCAACTATTTCTCGTATTTTCAGGGCAAAAACTGCTTCTTGGTTCTCTGTATTAGAAAAATATTAAAGATGACGATTCTCTGGATTCTTCTCGGTTTTCCGTTGTGAGTCAAAGAAAATCTCAGATTTTCTGTAGTGCCTGAGAGGTTAAATAAGAAGGTTCAATGAAGATAAATATGTGAAGTAACAAAAAGTTGTTTCCGAAACTCTTTCGAGGTTGCCGCATGTATTTCGCTGGCGAAACAAAAACCATAATTGCGTTGAAAAATATGCAGCTCAAAATCATTTTATGATCTCGACTTAACTAAAATACGAGGTTTTCGAATATGTCACGATTTTTTGAAGAAGAGCAAAAGAAAATTGTAAACATTCATTATGAAAATACGTCTCCATTGATTACAGCGGCGTGAAGACTACGAGAAGTGTATGGTGTACACAAGAGACCAAATGAGTCGGTTGGACCCAACGGATCGTGCGATTTGAGTCCGTTCCACTTCTTTCTTGGGGTGATACGTGAAAGATAAGGTGTACGTCAAACAAACAATCCAAACACTCAATGGGACATGTGCAGCCTCATTCGAGAAAGCTCACCATTGCTGCGCGGCACCTTCATCGAAAGAACGTCACAGAGAAAACCAGTCTTGAAGAAAAACCGAGGGGTCAATTGTCTGCTCTCAGGTCTGTCTGGTGCCTGCTGTAGGTGTCTGTTTGTCACATTTAGTTTTCAAATGAATAATTTAGTTGAAGTTAGACTTTTAACAAGCAAATAAACTACACGTGCTCGTCCTCAAACAAATTCTATTTGGGAAATACTAATGACTGGAAATAGTTGGAGTAGATGGTCATTGATGCCACATACATATGTTTGCCTTATTCTAGTGTAAAATGTCTGGGACATGAACGTTCCTTATCATCCTTACAGTATGCTATAATCGTGAATGTAGCGTCCAAGGTTAAAAGTCGACCAACAATCTTCGACGAACAAGAACGTGATCTTTGGAGCCGGAATGGCCGGTTTCGCCCACCAACCCAGACACACGTCAGCTCGAGATAGATGTTTTGGCGTCGGCAAGGGTGCAGAGAAAGAATGGGGAGAGTCTATTGAAAGTAGTTAGTGCATTTTCAAAAGGGGGTTGTGCAGCGCAGTTAGTTCCTATGTCCCCCCAACCACCGAATTATACTATCCCGAAAGTTTAGTTAGTCGCATACATGCAACTATAACTATATGATTTGTTTGTGATAATTATATGATTTGCTTGTGATAAGCAAACTTTCACTTACCCTCATTTCTTAAGTGACCTTGATTATCGACGGTGGTACTTTGACAACCTCAAGATTGTGACCGAAACTACTCAAAAAAAGCATCATAAAGTTATCTTCCCTGTGCTTTTCAAGCGAGAAAGTGAGAAAATATAGGTGGGTGGAGCCATCGCTCATTTCCAACATCGCGTGCTAGAGCACAGAGAAGGTAGGGCAGCCTACTCCCCGAACCCATAATGGGGTTTAGTGAAG